TTTCATGCGTATCAAGAGTTACATTCGAAGTTTTCTGTAATGTTTACTTCAATGTTATAAAAAGACGAGGGGTTTCAAGATATTTGACGCTATTGCAGTTAGGAATGCCCTTTCCTAAACATGCTTCTTCTTGGTCGTCAGCGTTACTTTTTTTTTATACGGCGTTTCTGGTAGAACGTAATTCATGAGTGATAGTTTCACGATTGTCTATTTAGTTCTTGCTAAGCTTTCTGACGGTATAATGCTAAATTATTGCTGTGATCCTTTTACTGTTTCAAAAGGCAGATTTCATGTAAGTGGATAGTGTAATAGTCAGTGCTTGCATTTTGAAACTGCAATTACCTGCATTCCTAGAAATCTGGTGGGTTCAAATCTACTTTCTGTGCATTTTTGCTGCTCACAGTTCCTATAATTCTTGCCATTTTCTGATTTGCTTTGACGTCACAATTTTAGTTTTATACATTAAACTCAACAAGTGGTTTCAGGTGAATTTATGGTTTAGAAAAGTTTGCTTTCATTATTCTGTGAAATTCTTCAGCTTCTTCTTATTGTGACAGAAGTAAAACAAAAGCCTGAATCGTAATAGCTACACTTTCCAGTATCTTTATTTGGCCTACTTGTGGCCTATTACTTCATTCTTACTACTTTGTATTCTTCATAATCAGTAGTTGCTTACTTTCATCTTTGTTGAAAGCTTTTGTCAAGGTTACTTTTTCAGTTTTTCGACTACTTAATTTAGGAAGCAGCAAAGAAAGTTTATAATATGGTTAAGGCAAACTTAGGCTTCTAGAACATGAATTCGCTTAGTGTCATTTGTTTATTTCTTTGTACAAAAGGAAACCGCTGTGGTTAAATGAGTATTTTTGGTTACGCCAGGAAATGGACAAGCAGTGTGAGAGCTACAAGCAGAGGATTTACTTGCGATGTGGATATGAACCTTCGAGTTTTCTAGGATTGCCGATGCGAAACGCAGACGCTGACCGTTACACCACGCAGTAAAATGAAATTTGTATTTTGAAGTAGCTAAAGAATTACTGTAACAATTTAGCATTATACCGTCAGAAAGTTAAAAAGAACTAAATAGACAGCTCTGAAACTATTAAATATGAATTACGCTTGTCGAAAACGTAGTATGTTGAAAAATGAAGTAGGGTTGACTGTCAAAAGAACTTTGGTTGGAAGTGGGCAATTTTATCTGTCGGATATCTTATGTAAAAACCGTTTAAAAAAAGGAACGGCAAATAGCGTGGGAAGTGAAGAAATGGGTTTTCGTTTTTTGGTGATGTTTCAGAAGATAGTGAAAGTAAAGTTTGTAGGAAAGCAAATTATTACAATTGTCATGCTAGTGTTGGTAAACGAAGGAACAAATAGTAAGGTTACTGTTTTTATTTTTTCGTTTGATCTACCACTTATCTATTTCTTTGCATCTTCTCTTTATCAGTAATTACTTCGCTTCAGGTTTCTTATGCTTCTTTTTTTTCAGTAGTTTTTTATTTATTTGTTTGGGAATTGGCTGCGTTAGATATTTTTCATAGACATTTTTCTTCCTGAGGGATGAGAGCACAACTTTTGGGGCTATAGATAAAATGTATCAACTATATTTCATGATATATATATATATATATATATATATATATATATATAAAAATATATATATATATATATATATTAAATAAACAAATAAATAAATATATATATATATATATATATATATATATATATATATTAGGCTTATATACATATCTTTCCACCTAAAACGTCTATAACGTTTGTAGTACATGTTTACTTTGATGTTTTCACTTCTACCAGTTTCGTCGTATCTTCTGCTTAATTTTTTTCTGTCTTCCTTTCTCCAAAATGGTTATCTTTTTTCCATTTATTTAGAAACATTTTTGCACTTTTTGCACTCTCTTTTACTTGTTAAGTATTATTGTGAATTGGGACCAAAAGTTTTTTTTTCTTTTGACAGCATTGTAATCTTAGTTTTGTGCTCAATCATCTATTTGCTTCTACATACTGCGTTATTTTAACGGACGGTTTGAAAGGCGATTGCGTTGTTGTAACTTTAAAAGGAGTGTGGAAGTCTGGAACTTTGAAATTTGAAGTTCAAGGAGATATTCCCTTTGTTAAATTATTTGCTTAAGGGTAATGTACAAATACCGAATTCACACATCCGGGGGGGGGGGATGGGGCTCAGATCTAAGTTTTTTTAAAACTTGTATTTTAAAGTTAAGCTGTATTTCTGGCAGGGTGGTGTAGCAACGGAAAGAATATTCATTTATTGTTCAGTTGCTCTTCTCCAACAAAATCTAAATTCTAGTTTTGAGCTTCAAACTTGAGTAATTGTACCTTTATTAGTAGCACCGTACCGCCATCATATAACGGTGCCATGCAGAAAAAAAATTAAACGATGTGAAATGCGATCAAACTGAAAAGCGTGGAGGCATTTCAAGCCGACAGCACAAGATCCGATGGTCAGAAACGCACTTTCTCGTTGCAACGGATAGCAAAAATGAAAGTTTTAAGAAGCTTAGTTTTGCCTGTCTTCTTCCTTATACCTATCAATAGTCACTGTTGTCAAATCTCAAAGCAAGCTGAGCACGTCGCTCACTGCTCGATTTTTTTGCATTTGGGGATGGAGGAAAGAGAGGGAGGTAGGATATTACGAAGGTAATCGAGGTCCTAGGTGGTGTACTTATGTGACTTTTTTATCCTTACAAGCTGATTAGAATGGTGTATGGAAGTGCATCGCTAACTTACCGTCATTAGTGGTGCAAGTTTTACCCAAGTTAATCTGCAGTGCTCTACGTTGGATATATGGCGTATCTTAAAGTTTTTCGCATGACAGTAATACCGAGAGTGTTTTATAAATGAAGAAATAATATACGGCAAATTCATCTTTTTGGAGAGCAGAGTTTTATTTCAATATATACTACAGCAGCGCTTCAACCCGTTTTTTGTTTGCTTTTTAAAAAGAATTTGTGTGGTGCATACAAGGAATGATTTTGTATTGTGTTTAATTTTCAGTATTTTTTAGATGTTTTCTTGGGTTTGTAACTGACGTGGAGAATTCCTACTTGAGTTTTCGTACCTGATTATAGCTGATGTGTGTAACAAAATTACAATTACTGGTCACTGTATCTGATTAGTTTTTTAATTAATGTGATTAATGGTAACTGGTGAGTAATATGTGTTCTAACCAAACTTTCAAATAACATTTAGTATAGTTGCTCTCGAATTTTGTGGAATAAGTGAAGCGCGGCATTGTTATGGATTAATTTCTGATCAAAAGTTTTTATTAACACTGCTGGCTACCTGACTGTTCGAAAAAAAATAGCTTGAAAAGGTCGAATGATTTTGCATTGACTTTTTAATTTGTAGTAGGTCATTCAATGTAAATAGTTTCAATGCGGAAAACGAGGTCACGGTCTGGGAGTGTGACGGAATCTGGAAGAAATATTAAAAAGATTTTACGACCGCGCTTGGAAGTTAAACAGGAAGTTAGCATTTCAGCTAAAGTATTCATCCTTTTTGTTTTTAGTTTCATATTTACTATTTGAAATAGAATCAATTCTTGCTGAATTGTTTTATCATGAGAAATACTCAATTCATTGGATTCTTTTTGGGTAAATTATTAAAATGCTTCTATTGGTATTACTTCTGTGAAATAAGATTTATGCGTACCAAGAAAAACGTTATTGTGTTCACTGCTTATGGAAAGGTTTTAGGTGCAGGTTTCACTTTATGAAGGTAGTAAAACCCATATTTGAGCACAACTATTAATATTTTGTTTATTTCAAAATTTTATGAAACGATGCCTTTTTAATTTTGATTTTTCAACAGATTAAGTTGTGCTGTGCTTATTCATTTTCTTTTTAGGACGGTTTCAACCGTAGCGAAGTAAAAAAGGCTCTTCTCGAATCAATTTACGAGAAAGAAAAACAAGAGCGACGTCTGGCGGCTGAGCTAGAAAGGCAAAAGGAGATTGAGTTGGAAAGATCTAAAAAAGGGAAGCGAGTGAAGAAGAAGAAATTGCAAAGCAGAAAGAAGGAAGAAAGGCCTATTCCGACAACAGAAGACTTCATTCGATTCATTTCACTTGATTACTCCAAAGGTGGTTTATTTTAAAACGCCTTATTGGCACCAGTTTTATAAGCTTTATGCTTATTAAGATTAAAGATTTCAGTACAGTTATTTTATAATAAGCATACTGTGTTTCTAGCCCCAATGACTTTTCTTTTGGGTGTGATTGCGAATTCTTTGCTTATGGTTCTATTTTTTTAACTTGTTTTTTACGTGGACATTCATGTTTATATCTGCGTGAATTGATAATGCGTACAATTTAAGTTCTTTCAGACGCTACTGAGTTACCAAAAGATCTCAAAGGCCTGCGGAATTTGCCTCTAGAGTCAATCCCGAATCCGTACTGAATACAAAATATGGCTTTTTACTTCGTACGGAGTCTTTTTAAAAATTATTTAGCTCTCAAATATAATATTTTTTAGTGGTGTATTTAATTCAGACAAGTCACTAGTCATTGTAGCAGGTTACGCCTTGTCTCGTTTTAGAACTTTCACAATAAAATATCTATGATTTGTTTTAAGTAAATAACTGAATATTCTCTTTGTCAAAAGGGTTCTGTGAAAGCAGGTTTTAGAGTTTTTAGCTTAAGCTTAATATGAGGATGAATGAATAGTGACTGAGTTAGTATTAGGTCCTGCTACAATTGGGCTTGGTGATTGTTATTTCCTCTTCTCTTTTATTTATTTATTTATTTATTTTTTATTTTTTTGGCTTTTTACTTTCCTGATAGACAGATATTTTTTGCGTAAAAATTCTAAGTTGAATAAGTGTCTCTTATTATTGAAGACTTTTGAAATTTGTTTAACAATTGTTTCAGAAGCTCTGTTTATAGTTTTGCTTTTAATGAAACAAGTTGGGATGTTAGATGCTTAATTAAGTGCTTTAAGGTGCCGTTGTTAAATCTCTTGCTTATATGTCTCTCGTTTTTTGCTGCATTGGTGCTTTTTCAATGTGGATTTTTACTAAAACGTCATGAGATCTCGTCACGTAGTAATTGCTCAGATGTAAGTTATACTCGAGGTGCTTGCTGGCTTCCAGCCCAGTACAAGCGAGCTATTTTGATTGTGATTGATGCCCTCAGATACGACTTTGCTGCTCCACCTCACTATTCGCAATATTCCGGCCACTTGCCAATAATCACTGAGTTGCTTTCATCAGACAGTGGTAAGCAGTTGTGTAGTAATCGACTGTTTTACTTTTGCTGGTAAATTTTTTTTGTGTTTTTTACTGGTTGCGAACATAATAACAATTTTCCAGCCAGTTTGTTGGTCAGTTTATAAAAATACATAGAAGCAACAAATTTTATTTGAAAAATTTTACCGTTGGTGTGCTGTCAAAAGGTAATACCAACTTTATCAGTTTCCTTTTCAATATCACAAGATGACTTTTAAGGTACTGCCGCGTTGACACGTTTTATAGCCGATCCACCAACAACAACTCTGCAGAGGTTGAAAGGTTTAACAACGGGATCTTTGCCAACTTTTATTGATGTGGCTTCAAATTTTGCAAGCAGTGAGATTCAAGAGGATAATTGGGTGGATCAAGTCTACAACAGTGGCCGTAACATAACTTTTCTTGGTGATGATACTTGGTTTGCAGTTACTTTTAAATTTTTCACCACTTTTCTACTGCCTGGATTTGAATTTTCTAGCTTTTGACTTATATTTTGTTTTAAGGATGTCGTTGTTTCCTTCACGATTTCATCGAAGTTTCCATCTTCCTTCGTTTGACATAAATGACTTGAATGGAGTGGATAATTTGATAATTGGTAATTCCGATGTCGTTTTCCGGCACGTTTTTCTTGTTTCTTAGGCTGTTGTACTTCTCTTTCGCATATGTCAGCCTTTTGAGATGCTTGGTTTTAACTTCTTGCTTATGCGGCTGGTTTTTTAAAGTGAGGTTGCGTGTCATACTTGGTTTTAGAACATGTTTATGATGAGTTGAGTCGTTCTGATTGGGACGTGCTTATTGCCCACTTCTTGGGTGTTGATCACTGTGGTCATAAATACGGACCGAATCATCCAGAAATGATTGTTAAGTTGTCACAAATGAACGACGTAATTCGAAAAGTTGTGGAAATTATGGATAGAGAAACTTTACTTTTGGTTCTTGGAGACCATGGGATGACTGAAACAGGTGACCACGGTGGGGATGCACAACTTGAACTCGATGCTGCTTTATTTATTTATTCAAAAAAGAGACTTTTATATTCATCAGTTCCTGAAGCTGTTTCACAGGTTACCAATATACTCTTAGAATTCTCCATTTTTTTAATTTTTTGTTTGTGACTCTTGCCAAACTCAAGTGTAAGACTTTCAATTTGAAAGGGTTTTTATTAAGGTGGATTTAGTGCCAACGCTCAGTCTACTTCTGGACTCGCCTATCCCGTTTTCGAATATTGGGATAGTTATAGATTCTTTAATTCCAAATGAATTACGTTCTCTTGCCTTAAGCAGCAATGTTTGGCAAATGGACAGATATGCACATATTATGGCTGATGAGATACCTGATCTTTATGGTGCTTTGCGAGAATTTGAAGCGAAAGAAGAAAGCGATTCTCGAAATTTACAACTCATGCGGAAACTTCAACAGTTGTTTCGTTTTTCTTGGACACGTTTCAGCCATCCTTTTATGCGTGTTGGTCTAGAGTCTATGATTGAAGCTATTTTCGGAACTTTTGATGCATACTTTCAAATCAGGTGAATTTTTTCTAGTTTATTCGTGAATAATTTGGATTATATCACATAGTTCTGTTTCTGATTACCGTTCTGCCTCTTCAAGGTCTCCTTTACCTGATTATTATGAGAGAATGATGTAAATAATTTATAACGTTTTGCAGCAGAGTTCCTCCTGGTTGGGTTATTTTCCGTTCTGCACTGTTCTTTATACAAATGTCTGCATATTTGAGTGGTGGCCAAGCAAGTACTTCACTTGCAATACTAGAAATTATTCTGGTTTCTTCACTGTTGTTTCACTTTATCAGTTTGTTCAACAAGCTTTTATCACTTTCATTCTCAATTCGGCATACGTTTGCTGTAAGCCTAATTGTCATCCATGGTCTTTCATTCCTCTCAAACAGTTTTATCGTATTCGAATCTTCTTCAGTCCGGTTTCTTACTCAGACTGCTTTGATTTCTACATTCGTTTCTGGAATGCAGAGGTAATTTTTTTTCTTTATTTTGAGAGAAATTTAGCTGGAAAATTGAAAGCAGGTTCTGATTTTGTCTAAATTACGTTTTGCATTGAGCTTAAGATGTTGACATAGGAAGCTTAAGTTGAAGAATTTGAGCGGTCAAACCAGTGAAAAAATGAAACTTATTTGACTTATCAATGGTACTATACCAGAAGTGCTTTACTTTATTGTATAAGGTTATTTAAATAGCAGATTTTTTGTAAGCATCTAATTTTTTAAGAAATGCGTTTTTAAGTCATATTTCAGAGAACCTGTAAGAAAATGGAAACGGTCTTTGGGTTTCCGCAGCTTTTTTGGGAAATATCTTTCGGGCGGTGATGTTGGCAAAATGTTTGCTGCTTTGATTTCGCTTCGTCTTGGCAGATTTTTTGAAAGATGTCGGGAAGAACAGCAGTCCTCGTGCTCTGCTACGTTCTTAGCACAGTCGTCTGGAAAACTTCAAGGAGGTATTGTTTCTTCTTTTAAATCTTCAAATATCTGTCTCTAGCAAAACTTTCTTAGAAAGTTTTTTAAAAAATCTATATTTTAGATTATGAAAAGCTACTTCGTTTTGTGATTGGGGCTGGTTTTTTGATTGGACAGTCGATTTTTTTCAAACGAACTTTATTCAACTTTTCTCCATTTCTTTCTTCACTCGTTTTGCCTACAGCAGTTTCAACTATTGCTTTCTGGCTGACTCAGCTTTTGCCTGAAAAGGCAGCGGAGAATTTTACAAGTTTTTCGCTTTTTGCTTCTCGGGTATCGAATTTGCACTGATTTTTATAAATATTTGATATTGTTACTAGTTTGTTGTTGATTGCTAATTTTTATAGGTTGTATACCTTGCAGTTATTGGAAATTTATTGGTTATCTGCCTGATGTTGCGAAATTATAGTTCTAATTTTCTATCTGGATATTCATTAGCTTTTTTGAGTTCCCTTTCTTCGTTTTCTTGTCTGCTGCTTGGGGATAGCTTGTCGATCAGCTATATCATCTTCGTTGGCATTGTTTTGCTCGTCACCTGTGTAGTTCGCGATGGTATGTAAAAGATTTTAGTAGTTTCTATTAAAGAAATCTCTTTGTAATTTTCTTAATCTGCTTTCTCAACAGTCTCTTCCTTTTCATAAGAACCTTCTGTTTAGAGTTGATGGTTTTGGTTCATTATACTTTGCTTTCCTCGCACGGATTTTTTTCCTTATCCCATCAAGCAACATTCCCATCTATTCCCTGGCAAGCCGGTTTCATCGGCATTCAGGGCAATTTCTTTATTCAGGCCGTCCCAGCCATGCTCATCATCTGTCACCTGTTTTCATCTCATATCATAATAATTGCTGCCTTACCATATAGCATAGCGAAACACGTTGAATCAGATCCTTTCTTCTCGCCATATGGGCTTATTCGGCGGTCGTCATTGTTTCTTCTCCTCTATGGATTTCAGGTATCGTATTTTTTTAAAGCTACTTAATTAATTGCAGGTTCACACCTATATTTTTGATAAAGCGGTCTTCCAGATTTTTAAAGTGAAGGGTTTTTTAGGTGCTTTGTATCTGTGTAGCTGCCTTTGTTCACAGACGCCATTTAATGGTATGGAAAATCTTTGCTCCGAAATTCGTTTTCGAATCTGTCTCACTTCTAGTGGTGTGTATAACACTTGTTTTGGTTAATTTAATTTTTAGAAATATGAATCAGTTACGGTTTATTAGAAGAGGCGAGTACAAAAAATCTAGTAAGCTGAAGTAGTAACAGTATTTAAGAAGGCTTATTTGCTACCTCTTGAAATCATGTTGCCTCTTTTTAAAAACAATTTGTTAATTCGCTATCATCTATTTACTGAAAAGCATGATTTAAATAAAATCTGAATTTATTAGTTTACTAGTACGTTGTGCTAGTTACCGTTGTAGTCAAGTCGTGTTTGGATTAATTCAACCAAATATTTATCTTTACAAATTGCAGAATAATAGAAAAGAAATTTTCGCCCAGAAAAGACTTTCGAAAAAAGTCACTTTATATACAAATACTTTACTAAAATATAAATAACTGTCAGCTTCATTTCCCTTATGAAATCCGTAGTAGCTTTGGAATGTCAGACGTGCGTGGCGTTCATTCAAGAATTGGCTCATGAAAAGAAATAACTTAATAACTATGAACGGAATTGCTAAAGGACAGAAGAAATAAATTGCATCAATTTGGGGTAAGTGATTCGACCGGTTCTGTTTTCGTCCAGATAACGAACAGCGTTTTCTATTTCTTCACGTGACATCTTCTCGCCAACCGACGATAGAATACTGACAAATTCGGGTACAGTTATCCATCCTCGTTTTGTCCTGTCAATGCATTGGAGGGCTGCCATTATCTGTTTCATCGGATGCTCTTTCTTCGTTTCAGCGTGCAGTATTTGCAAAAATGATGCGAAATCAACTTTTTTGCCTGAAAATTAGTAAGTGTAGGAAGTGTTGCACAAGTTTTTGACACATTCTTCTAGTTACGACATTGCACGCTTTTGCTCATGTTTTTGCAAAATATAATAACAACCGTAGTCTTGGAAATAATTTATTGTTTCTTGTATGGTAGGCGAGTATCCTAAACTTCGCATAATGTATCGGAGTTGTGAAGAGTTATGGACAATTCCTTCGTGGCAGTACAGGTAGAAGCACTGTCTGTATTCTAAATGGGAATTAGATGATGACTGTACAGAAGAAAGCCAAAGCAAGAGTTGTTGTTAATCGAAAATTATTGCTCGCAATAGTAAATCTTCAAACTAGTTGATTTGTTTGAACAAAGGTCTAAGGATAATTACCTTGGTTATCATCACGTTATTTGTTCCCCTTCAAAGGGGAAACATTGTTTGTATGTTTGGGGAACATGTCTTTGTTCAATGTATTCTTTGAAAAAAAAAAAAAAAAAAGTATTGAATAATTAATTTTAACAAAGGTTTTTGGGGTTTCAGATGTAGAAGTGTTTGATTGGCAAAACTGAAAACAATTTAGAACTGTTACTGATGGCTTTAAATGATGCGTAACCTTTTTTCCTTATTTTTTCTGGGTATCAAGTAGGCATTAAGTAACGATGTTGTAAGAGGTCATTTTTGAGACTTAAAGACAAGAATTTTGCACGTCTACATCCGTAGCGCATAACAGCGCTTCATTTGTACATTATCGTTTATATGCATATTTGAGAGACACTTAAGGAGGGTCTTCGTTCGCTACTGACTGCGCAAATGCTTAGTGAACTGTCACCGGAAAAAATGAGCTTAGCAAACTGGTTAACAGCTTCCTTTCTTCTTAAGCTCCCTAACACTGGCTCCCTCCTCATCCTGTTTTGCTCTATTTTCATAATATGCTAATTGAGTGGAACTTACCATCGATTTGTCGCTGTGAGAAATACTGAGTCTGAAAAGCAATTTTTTTGTAAATAGTTGTTGGAAAAAGGAAAATGTTAGGGAAGAGTGGGAAAAATTAGCAGAAGAAAAAGGGCGTGAGGGCGTGGTCGCCAAACTGTATAATTTGTATTCTATTAAATGTTTCGCTGCTGCTTGCAACTGTTTGTTTTATATTTCACATTTGATGTCTTAATACAAAGACGAATATTTGCTTAGTAATAATGCCTGAATTGACCGACCACCTTTGAACACCGGATATATTTTTAAAGATCTTTTGTTGCTATTTAAACAGTTTGTGTAACCAAAACTGCTGTATTGTCAATAGTGGGGAAGAAAAAGTTCAGCAAAAAAAGGAAAAAAAGGTAGGCAATCAGAAGAGGGAACTAGTTTAAAAATTCGTTTGTAGCGGGACTTTATGATATACGGTAATTAACAATTAATAATTAACAGAAAAGTTGGCATAATTTAAGTATTTTAGCTTTGTTTCAATCGTCGGTCGACCCACAGCAGCAGATGCAGAACTACCTTAAAATCTTTTTTTACTGATTTTTTCTCTTGATTTCACTTTTTCAACTATTTTCATTTGCTCTCAGTTACACTTATGACTGTTTACTGGAACAAGAGGACAAAGAAGTAAAAAGAATAAAAGTGAACTAACCATACTGTTGTTGAAACCACTTTTGTAGAGCTACAACCAGCAGGGTCTATTTAATGGGCCGGCTTGGTCGGCTACAGTTGTAATGGTGCCCAGGTGAACAGCAGCACCGGTAAAATGCAGAGATGGACACCTACTGAACAGACAAAAGCTGCAGCGCGAAAGAAGACGAGAAGGGTTACACACAATGAGCAACAGAGTACTGCAGTTGTCGATTAGGTGTACTGTTGTTGATATAGGGTCTGTCTCGACTGTCGTCGTGTTGAAAACACAATCACACACATACACACACAAATACACCACACCGTACAGC